AGAATCTAAACATAGTCTAACAGATAAATGTTTTTTTTTGTTCGTAGCGGCGTAGCCGCCCTGAATCAATAAGCGCTAATCAATATACTCTACTGTCTACGTGACAAATTATATGATCGTGTTACGTAGTAATATTTTAGGCAACTTTAACGCTCAGTATCTCGGCTCACAGAGCGACGCTTTTTTTTGCCAGATTCTTTTGTTTCGTTCAAAAACGCGTCGAATAAACTTAATTTCATCGAAATCAGAGGTAGCTCTTCTGAAGAATTACCCTCATTTTATCTCTCTGATAGATTTCCTAACCTCAATAGTATTAACTTTAACGCTTAATATCTCGGATCACAGGGCAAAGCGACGCTTTTTTTTTGTCAGATTCTTTCATTTCATGCAAAAATGGAATAAGTCTAATTATAATATATTGATTTTTTAGGTGATTATGCTAAACTGTATAATTACCCTTTTTTCTTGTAAATTCTTTATTTTTACACAAAAATGCGTTGATTTAACATATTTTTATCAAAATTTGAGGTGTGATCGGGTTCTTCTTAACGTTTACCTTATTTATATGCCGTAGAATCTTGAAAAATTGAGTCTTTGGAACTACAAGATGTTCGAAAAATATACCTTGCTTTGTCAAGACTTCCTCAGTATAACTGAGCCTTTCATTGACAGTAACATCTTGAATCAGCTGAAATGCAATTATGCACATGAAATTGATTCAAAACGAAAATTAAGCCAAACAAAGGACCTCAAAAAGTTTATCAGATTACTAGAAAAACGAGATATTATAAGTTACAGTAATATAGAGCCATTATGGTGTATATCAAAAAGGTATATTCACAAGCCTGATTTAGAAAGCAAATTGCAAGATTATGAAAGTTGGCTGAAGGCTGTGTCATCATTATCTTTATGTAATATATATCAAAGTGAAGGTAAATATTTTTTAAATTAATTTTTTTGATATTTTAGAATTTGAAAAATATTTATAAGATAACAAAACAGTTTTTATAGGAGTCTCGTTAAATATATAACATTATACAAAGTTAATTTGAGAATTCTTAAATAATATAGTTAAGAATAAGATCATGTAAATAAAAATAAGAGTGTAAGGATTACAAACTTCAATAACATGCAATTTTTAGTTTACTAATATTCTTAAAGCAACATGACTTCTCTTTATTATACAGTGGAACTTTTATAACTTCTACTACACGGGTATTAGAAGTTAGAAAGATTTACCTCATTCGTACATTAGGGGCGGAGCATTAAAAGGAAATAGCATGTATTACATATAGTGAGAACGTTTGCTCAGATGCCAACGCAACATAACCTATTTTAAGGGGATTAACCCTAAAGCCGTCTGTATTACCAATATTTTCTCAGTGAAAAATCTAAAACAACGATTGACAGGATCTAACATTTTCAAACTAAACACATTGAAATCAGCGTCTTATAGATCACAGTAAGATGTTGAACTACTGATTTAATATACATTCAATAAAATTGAAAGTATATAATTAATTTTTCAGACATAAATTGAGAGCCGATGAAATTATCGGATTCACACAATAAATCTGAAATTAATAAATCCCCCCAAATTCTTCCCAATCTTAAAAACTGTAATAATTTTATTGCGAAAAAATATTGCCTCGGCCGGGA